CTCTCTCTCTCTCTCTCGCTCGCTCGCTCTCTCTTTCTCTCTCTCTCTCTCTCTCCCCTCTCTAAACACACACGCACACACGCGTACATACTCTCTCATTCTCTCATTCACACTCACGCTTTCACACTCACGCTCTTCCACATATTCTCTCATTCGCTTCGTGCTATTTCATATTCTCTCTCTCTCTCCTCTCTTTCTCTCTCCCTCTCCCTCTCTCTAACACACACGCACACGTACATATTCTCTCACGCACAATACATAGACAACACAATATATTACTTACTTGTCTCGTCTCCTTTCTCCTTTTTTCTCTCTTCTTTTCCTCTCTTCTTTTCGTATCTTCTTTCTCTATTATTTCACTTTAACCTTTATATAACCCGTCAATACACACGTATCATATCGCAAGCGATACGATATGACATGTATCGTATCGCACATGCGAGACAGCCAATCAGCATCGCGGAAAAGCGGCAACAATACTTCGAGATATGCGACTAATCGACTTACATGCCTTTTTTAGATAGGGATGCAGTAGAACCTCGATTAATGGCTACTTTATAATTACTTCATTATTGACAGTAGGCCAATAAATCATGCAGCTACGTTAGTTTAGATGCCTTCGGCACAGTAACACGTGAAAAGTATCTCAAAGGACCATTTACGTGAGATAAACAATATTGAAAAATTTTTAATAAGAGATTCTGCATAGATTAATATGTTTATAATATATCTCCATTTAATTAAATTTTTATCTTGACGCTCAAACATGCCATTCTGCGTTAAATAGAAGTTCTACTGCATTAATAACGTAAAATACAATAATAATAAAATAAATATCTTTTACGTCCAAAGTTTGTAAAATTATTTGAAAGTTTGGTACCTCCTCTTTCTTAATTCTCTTAATATAATTAGTATTACGAGAAAGATGTTTCTAAATTTATATCCCTCTAAACACAGTATTGCTTAGAAAAAAAATTTGAAAAGTATATAGAACAATACACTTTTACCACTTTTTAATCACATATGAGTTACATGAAGATTCATCTGTGTTGGAAATCCCCGTATTCCCCTTGACTCGTGTGGGAATTCCTTGGCGCTCGATCTGAGCCGCGATCACGCATAAGGCCGCGTGCTCCGCAAGGACAAGTCGGGGGGCGAGACGCGTAAACAGTGTATACGCCGCCGAGTGAGTCGCGTTCGGCAGTCGCGTCCGAGCACTTCGTTCCGCGCACGGCTGGTTCGCGCTATTATCGCTCGGCTGTGCTTTCGAGTGCGATACTCTTTATACACCAGTAACGATTCGCTCAGCTGTAAACTCGAGTGCGATCGTTGCATAGTCAATAGAATAAATCCACCCTTTTGTTCGCAATTTACTCATTATTCTTGTTTGTCCGACTTTATGAGCCTTCCTTGCCGCTCCCGCTCGTCAGTGCTCCGTGAGTTCCGACGTGCCTAGCGATCGCGCGGACGCGCTGGCATTCAAGTAGACTTCCCGGCGACAATCTGTTTTAAACTTCAGAAATGTTTTTATCAATTTTGCCGATAATGTCATTATCATTTTCAGTGGAAGTAGTAGTATTATCATCTTCAAAATCAGTGAAAGTAGTAGTAGTAGTTTCACTTTGTTCATGATGTTCATCTTCAATAGAGGAGTCTTCTTCGGTTTCAGGTCCAGGAAGATTTTGTTTTTTTTCTTTTCAATGCTTTAATTTCCATCTATCAAAGAATAAACAAAAATAAGAATAAACATGGAAAAGAAAAAAGTTCGTATGGTGAGTTAATACTTACGTTTTAGCTCGACCAATTGATTGGCGGAGAAATTCCTTGATGTTTCCAATAATATCTTCCTCAGTTGCATCAGCTGCAAATGCTATTCCTTCATGTTTTGTATGCCTAGTTGCACCTATATATAATTTAAAAAACAAAGATAACTTTAGAAACATGTCTTGCAGAGGAGATAAAAGAAATATTTATTTGTATAAAGAAATATTTATTTATACAAAGTTTAAAATAAATAATTAATTTAATCTTTGGTTCAATAAATAGAGGAGAAAACTAAAAAAGTGAACCAAGTTATAAAATACATGCATTGAAAAAATTAAGTTATTATTATAATAAAAAATACACATTATTAATATCAATTAAAGGCTTGATTGACGCGATGAACGGAAAAAAATATTTCTAATGCAGATTTATTTATATTGAAAATTTTTATTATGAAAAAACAATACTTTGCAGCACCTTTTTTATTTGTTCCAAATTTATCGATATTGCTATTTGTACTCCAGAGCTACATGTATTTTAATTATTTTAGTAAAATACAAATAATAAATCTTATCGTGCTCCTGGGCTTTATCCGAAAGCTGTTCTTAATATTATTCGCGGTCATAATATCTATAAAATTATTTGAAAAAATTTACAAATCACAGCACCTACTAGCCCTTTAAGGAGACTGAATTGTATTTTGCCTTTTCCTCCAGTCCAGCTATATTTTTGTGCGAGAGTGCAATGTATAATGACATATTATATTAAGAAAAAGTAATAAAAAATCCAATTTTTTTATATTACTCACATTCATCGTTCTGCAAAAGTTTTTGCAATTGTAAACCCTGTCGTCCTGTTAAAATAAGAAAAAAATTGTAATTTTTAAAATGATAAAAATTAAGGAATATTATAGACAATTGTATTAGTTAACCTTTTGTAAATTTATCGAAGGAAGAGATGGACTCATATGGCACTTCATCATTCTCATTGGTTACGTTCAAATCTATTTAAAAAATTTAACTTTGACATATTTTTCGCACATATATATGTATGTATATAAGGTGAGTGTGTGTGTGCGTGCGTATGTGTGTGCGCGCGTGCGTGTGTGTGTGCGCGTGTGCGTGTGCGTGTGCGTGTGCGTGTGCGTGTGCGTGTGCGTGTGCGTGTGTGTGTGCGTGTGCGTGTGTGTGTGTGTATAGTATAAAAATATTTTATTATTGCCCTCAAAACAAAAGTATTTAAATAATAAATAGAAAATTTGCATATACATTGAAATTACTTACCAAAGTTTCTATCAGTATTGTGTTCTATATTTGCAGTATTAACTTTGTACATATTCCTTGTGGAGTTTAGTTCTTCCAATGAAGATAATTCATTCTCTGAAGCTGATTTTGAGCTTGATTGAAGTACGAGTGATTCATGAGATTGTTTAGAAGTGACAGTAGTATTTTTATCCATTAATTCACGAAGTGGGCTTATTTTAGAAGAAACATCTTTGCCTTTCATTTTTGAGTTGCTAACTCTTGAAGTATTTTTATATGTATGTAATGATTTAAGAAATGCTGCTGGTGTAGAGGCAGATGGTTTTTCTTTCTTTCTAAAGACATGAACTCTTGAACTAGCATTATCTATATATTTTAATTTCAGCAAATGTGACTTTGCAACAAAGGGATTTTTTTTTATTCCTCTTTTGATGTCTGCATGTTTGAAGGAAACCGAGCAACATTTCTATCTGTCTTGTCTGATTTTTCTGACTCTGAAAGTGATTCTACAATAGGAAAGTCCCACTTTTTTTTTATTGGTTCATGCGTTGAAACCATTTGTTTGTCTTTCTGTGTTGACTGTTCCTCTGAAAAATATGATCTTGTAGCATCTTTGTTTTTTTGAGTGAATTGAAACTGTGTTAGTTCCTTTGGAGGTTTAGGAATAGATAATTTAATTTTATCTTCGTATACTGTTTGTTTTGAACTGTAGTCATTCTCTTCATCAGTATCAAAACCATATCTATGAATAGCTATTCTTCGACGTTTTCCTTTCCCTCTTAATTCAGAGTCAGTACATATATCTGTGTGAATTTCAGCATCTTTTAGTTTCTTACGGGCAGTATCATATGAGTCTAAATAGAAAAGAAATTTATTAATGATAAAATTAGCATAAAAATTTTTTCTTTTCTCCAGTACAATTATTTTTCCATAATTTTAACATACAGATTTAACTTTGGGGTAAATATGATATCGCCAGCAATTCAAAACAATGATGAGTATTTTACATAAACGACCTACACTGGCCAATGCCTTTATTTATTATAAAAACGACGTTTCGGTCCTGGATTTGGACCCTTTTCAAGTGATCTGTAATAATGTATAGTTACAGTATAGTTCAAATATACAGTATAGTTCAAATAGTTACAGTATAGTTCAAATATAGATTAAGAGAGATTATGAGTAAATCGTGAATTTATACCTGTTACTTAATTATCCCTGATCTCGTATCGTTCGTTTGGCCAATATCTCTATGTTAGTAGACTGTGTACAAGCAAGAGAGTACCATAAATAGAATAAATAAGAATAAATAAGATAAATAAATAAATAAATTTAGTATATTAGTCAAATGAATAAATAAATAAGTTAATTTAGTCAGTCACATAATTAAAATTAAAAATGTATATATATATAAAATTTAGTCAAGGAGATAAGATTTAAAATTGTATATGTATATAATAAAAATGAGAATAAATATAAACTAACTCAATAAGTAAGTTGGTGTAATGGTCAGAGAAATAAGATTAAAATTGTATATATATATAATAAGAATAAGAATAAATATAAACTAAATAAATAAATTAACTTACGTATTAGTCAAAAGAATAAGAGGGAGAAATTTTGATTGCACTCTTTAGTTGGAGAGTGCAAAGTCAATTGAAGTTGCATTGTTAACTGTTGAAACACAAGTAAAAATGTCCCGAGATGTGTGTTGGACGAGGTAACAGGTTGAACTGGTACTCTCTTGCTTGTACACAGTCTACTAACATAGAGATATTGGCCAAACGAACGATACGAGATCAGGGATAATTAAGTAACAGGTATAAATTCACGATTTACTCATAATCTCTCTTAATCTATATTTGAACTATACTGTATTTATTTTATATAAGCTTAGTGACGAATTGTATATTATTACAGATCACTTGAAAAGAGTCCAAATCCAGGACCGAAACGTCGTTTTTATAATAAATAAAGGCATTGTCCAGTGTAGGTCGTTTATGTAAAATACTCATCATACAGATTTAATTTTCTCTTACTATAGCTACCTAAAATCTTAATTACTTTGATTTTATTCCAGTTTTTGTTTTCTGGGTCAGTGAGTTTCTGAACACTTTTGAAGTACTCAGATGTTTTCATATTTGGCCAAAAACATGTTACATTATCTTTTTCTGTACAAAGCCACTTTGTACAAACTAAATTAAAATATCCGTCTTCAAACTCAACTATGCTGAATGCCATTATGTCTAACTAAACAAAAAAATGTTATTATGTAAAATGTAAAATGATTATGTTAATTATATTCTACTAATGATGTAGTAAAGGAAAAGTGGCATAACCATTTTTGAAAGGCAATGCTACATATTTCTGTCTAATTTCATTTACAGACCAGTATTTTAATGATGACAATTCATAGACGTGATAGCAACTAAGACCAGATGATGGAAATGTTGAGGGCAAGAAATCTTCTCTATATAAAAATTTTCGACCTATTAACATTATATCACTATCATTAATTTTACTGGATGCAAAATTTTCACACAAAATTATGGCGCCATCTGTAAGTCCACAAAAAGAATCAGCTTCTTTTGATATATTAAATGATATACCACAGGGTAAGGAAAGAGATTTAAATTGAGGAGAACAGCAATCATTGACTAAGGTCCATCTGTATGAATACCTGCAAAGGTTAATTTTGAAACGTGTGTCTCTTTTTTATGATTACTATATTCAGAATATCGTCGTGCTATCTGTTGCAAAGGTTTTTCACCTTTCCTAATGAAATGTTTAAACATTTGCATAAAATTTTCAAACTTGAAAGCACTAAAATTATCTAAATGACCAAATTTTAAAACGTCTTGTGATAGATGAATTAACCCATGGATATTATGACTAACATATGCTTCACCATACAAGATCTTGTAGCCTTTTACAAAGAATACAAGAAGTTGATGAGCATAGTAATTGAAACTTATACATAGATTCGGGCTGGCCAATATACGAATTGCTACATGCAACGATAAAAAGTTATGATAAATATCTTTGTTCAGGTGACGGAATACAACAGGCCCTAAGTATAGAAGAATTAACCTAAATTCAGTTGCTTTATATCTACGGACAAATTCTAAAGATCGAGGTTTTCTAGGAAACTCAACCGGAATATTTTTCCTTACACTTATTAAATGTTGAGATATCTCATTTATTAATTTGCAGCTTATTTTAACTTTACGATGCCCAAACAAGAGAAAAAGAAGCAATTTCTTCATTACCCCTAAACAGACAAGGTGCATGTTCAAACAAGATCAAGCCTTGGAATTTCACTTAAAATAATAGTACCTTTATGATACTCTGTCTGAGATTGCTGAAGAAATTCTTCGTCAGTCCTCAAATCACAATTTACTTGAGGAAAGGTTGTTCTGTTTTCCATTCTAATTCCTTGCTGCTTACATTTTGTACATCCATAAAGAGCATTGTTACCACATATCTTTAACACAAAAGATTTTGCTGGGGCATCACAACAAAAGAAACTAATCTTTATGGCGATTAAACGATTATTAATTATTAACCCATTTTGACACAAGTCTTTTAATTCATCCACAAACTCTCTCAAAAATATATTACTACATTCTGGTTTTGAATAACCATGATAAATTCCAACTGGAAAAACTGTAGAAGAACCTTCTTCTGAATATGATATAGGCCATAAGGCACTGGATGAAGATGTAGATATCGGTACACCATCTATATTAAATGTCAGTTTCAGTTCTGTAAGATTTGTCTTATCTTTGTATAAAATACAAAGTTGCTTAGCTAGACCATTATGCCAGTACTGGCCAGGAAAGACATTGCGAAGTGGGATTGGTTGTAGTAATGTTTGCATTAAAGCTCTCGGATCTGTAGGTAATTTGCCTTCTGGATGTTCAGAATTTAAAACTGTAAGCAAAGACCGTAATTGATGATGATTAATTTTAGTATCTAATGCCCATTGTGCAAGTTTATCTTGAAAAGATATACGTTCACAATAAGTATCAAATTCCTTATAAGAATTACTAATTTCTTCATAACTGTTATCAATAGTGCTACATTTTGCACAGTGCTGGCAACAATCTTCATTATGAAAACATTCTCCACAATCAAGGAAGCATATGCATTGACTACATTTCTCACATAAGTCATACAATTGAAGATATTTATCATAAGATGACTCTTTTAATATTGCAGATAAATCTGATGCTACAAGACAATCTTCAATAATGTAGTCATGATAAAAACATAATTCATTATGTTCAAAATTTCTTTGTTGCTCACATTCTAAACGATTCGAGTCATGTAAGTTTGAGTTAACTATTTCATTACAAGAAAAGAAAACAGAACTTTCAAAGTTATGCCCAACATCCTTCTCAGCAGAGGAAGAAGTAACATTACTAATATTCCTAACAGCTTTATTCAACAATTGATTCCGATACTGAGGTCTCAAATCATACATTGGTTTAGTTTTCCTCATAATTACCTCAAATCGACCGCACCAAGAAGATGCGTACCATGAAGATGCGTACCAAGAAGATGCGTACCACGAATATGCGTACCTACAAAAACCAATTATAAAAATAATAGCACTAGAATTAATGTTATTTTTTCTTAAAAGCCTTGGGGTGCGTTCCGTTTCACGCATGATATGCATAATGCATCATTTATCCTTGTTATTCACCAAATATTAAATAAAAATAAATGATGCATTATGTGTTTCATGTATAACTCGGATCGCACCCATAGAAAACCAGAAAATTTTACTTAGGATACATTAATAATAAAGAACATTCTCTCAAAGAAAATGTTAGCGCATGGTATCATTCACATCAATCCACGATCGCTCTGCGTTAATATGGGGCGCTGACATCTGTTGTACATTGACAGTACTCGTACTACTAACGCTCGCGCCTTCACTCTGTACGCTCTCGAGCCCGCGCTTTATTTTATCCCGCCTGCGCTTTATTCGACTGTATTAATAAACGTGTTTAAGTGCAGACTGCCGTGTTACTATACTGACCCCGGCTATCCTTACGATAATCTTAACAGGTTATGGGCCCAGGTGCGTCGCGATAGTTGAAATAGTAAAAAGTGTCAGTTACGGCGAAAAGCTAACCTGCTCAATCATGTACACCGCGGGCGTGACGCGAATCGAGTGTCTCGGAAAGGACAATTACGATACATGGAGACTTCACATGGAAGCTCTCCTCGTCAAGAATGATGCCTGGTCGTACGTGAGCGGCGAGCTCGCGAAACCCGAAGTCGTGGCCGGCGACGCCGCGTCGGAAGCCGCGCGAAAAACGTGGGAAAGAGGCGATGCTAAGGCGAAATCCGATATCATTCTGACAATCGGCAGTTCCGAGCTGAAGCAGATTAAAGGCTGCATTACCGCACGCGATGTTTGGCTGAAGCTGGAAAGGGATATACCAATCGCGGGTACCCGCCAGGAAAGCTACGTTATTAAAGAGACTAATACCCGTATTCATAGTCCTTCCTTGAGGAATAAGGATTCCTTGTTCCTCATTCCACGTTTCAGAGACCTTCCTTGAGCAAACAAGGAGCCTTATTGGCTCCCTTATCTCAAGGGAGGTTGCGAGCTTCCTTGAGGCGGCGATTGCAACCTTATTAACGTATATAGATATCTGTGTTGATTGAAATTGAAATAGATAACGATTTTTTAAATTATTCGGACGAGGGATTTGAAGATGAAAATGATGCGGAAAATGATTTTCGATGGCGTTTACCAAAACGATACATTCGTGACTGGGAAAACCCTATTGAGTTTTACGAAGATGTACCTTTTAAAAAACGGTATAGGTTCGATAAAGGAGCTGTGATTAATGTTCTATTACCACTAGTGAATGAACAGCTACAGAAAGACGATAACCGCGGACTCCCGATTTCTCCAATAATGCAGCTTTTAATCACTTTACGATTTTATGCAACAAGTAGCTTTCAAGTATGTAAATTTTAATAAGTAATATTGGACCTATATATGTAACACAGCTTCGTTAAAAGGATATGTAAAATTTGGTTTTTGCTTCAAAATATAAGTTTCTCGTATATTTGGTATATTCTTTATTCAGATTGTTAACGGAGATATTAGAGGATACAGTCAAACATCGGTATCGCGCATTGTTGCACGAGTGTCAACAATTTTAGCATCCTATGTAGGGCAATACATAAACTTCTCTACCCGACAGCGTCAAAGGCAAAATATTGATAGATTTTATGAGGTAGCGAATTTTCCATGTATAATAGGATGTATCGATTGCACTCATATACGTATTGCCAATCCTGGACGAAATAATGGAGAGGTATTTCGTAATCGAAAAGGATGGTTTTCATTGAATGTGCAGGTATGTTATTCAATATCCGTATGAAAAAGAAACATTACAAAATGAGCTAAAACAATATTTATTGTATACTGCAGGTTGTATGTGGGCCTCGAAGAGAATTTTTGGACATTGTTGTAAGACATCCTGGTTCAGCGCACGATGCTATAATCTTTGATCGAAGCGGTGTTCGATGTCGTTTCGAATTGGGACACCTCGACGGGATTTTACTTGGAGATAGTGGATACGCATGTCGAAGATATTTACTAACTCCTGTATTGAGGCCCGATAACGATGCAGAAGTTAGGTATAATAATGCACATAGGAAGACCAGAGTTATCGTCGAACAGCTATTTGGAGTTTGGAAGCGCCGCTTCCCATGTTTATATTACGGGTTAAGAACAAAACTAAGTACATCGGTTGCAGTTATTTGTGCTACTGCTGTTTTGCATAATATATGTATTAACCATGGATTCGTGGAAATTGAACAAGAACATGTACAGAAATATTCGAGGCTGTTTTGAATCGAGAAGAAGATGCCATTGGACTTACACATAGAAGAGCTTTTATATTAAGGCATTTTTCGTGAAACATGTGTATTAAATAATGTTAAAACTATTAACCAAACTATTAATTGAACTAAACTACTTGATTTTATATTAACATGTTTGAACACATTATGAAAGATTTAGATTAAAAAGATAGAAAAGTAACACATTTAGTACTAAATATACTCTTTGGTATAAAGTTATACGCGACTTATACAACATATAATACATATAAAATCGACATGTACTATAATAAATTAGAATATATGATTCTTATAAGAAACTTTCACAGCTGGTATTGTCGACAAATATGTATCTTAAATTATAGTAGATTCGGACTGCATTTGTACTTTTTCTTCAGCCATTGAAAGCTTGAGCAATGCTATTTTGACCTCCGCATCAGCAGCTTTCATTTTCATCGAATGAAGTTCCCGCTGCTGTTCAATTGCTTCGCACAACTTTATTAATCTCAACTCTTTTTCATCGTTTAGATTCCGAAAATTTTTTTCAATCTTGGATGCTGGAATTTGGTTATTTTGGTTCCTTTTCATGGTTCCGCCCGCAGCAATGTTCTTTACATTGCACATTGAATATTGGTCTTTGGAATTTTCTGTATGTAAAACTATTTGTGAAGAAACATTTTCCATATCATCTGCTATTGATATCGAATCTCCATCCTCGTTATCACTAGGGATTAATTGCCTTTTTGAGTTACTTTTTATATGGTCTGAAAAAAGATAAGTACAAACAAATTAGATTAACAAACGCCATATGAATTCAAAAAAATTGTTTTTTCAGGTCAAGTAATAAATACAAAACTATATCACACATTCTTTTTCAAATTGAGCTGTACTGTCAAATGGACACGGCACTTCAATGTCTAAATTTGGAGTGGTAGCATCCATGAAGTCCATGACTGGATCAACGGGCACTGCTGGTGAAACGCCTCCACCCGTCATAAGACGTTGAACTTTTATCGAAGTATTTAATTTCCTTTTTCTAAAATAACGTTTCATAAATTAATATAATTATCATTTCTAATATGAATGTAAACTATATTAAACAAAGCAGGTAACATCCACAAAAATTTGAACAATATGTGGGTTATTCATATAATTATATTAAGAAAATTATTAATATACTTTTGTTTCATATTATCCCAGCATTTTTTTAATTGTTTGCTGGTACGAGGTGGAAAGCCTTGGCTGCAATATCTCCTAGTTACCCTTTCCCAAGCTTCAGCCTTATCTTTTAGATCCGCTGCTCCTGTTTTTTTATTTTCGATGGCTTTTTCGTCCGATATCAATTGAGCAAGGAGCATTCGCTCCGTTTCGGTATAATGGACGTTTTTGTCCATAATTGCATTCATATATTGCACTTTCAACTTCGAGTCGGATTGCCCGATAAATTTATCAGTGAGTATCACAATAGTTGCACTGTCGCACGAACTTGGGCGGATTCGTTGTCCCACGACAGTTTCTCCTCCACCCTAATTAATCGCGATTAATGTTAACTGACATTGATGCAACCGCCTACGGGAGATTATTACATACAAAGAAAATTCGCACGTATCAAAGCTGTGTATTTCAAACAAAACGCTACTCACACGTCATGCGACGCGCTTTTCAGCACAGATTAGCACTATGAACGTTAAAATTATGAGAAAAAGTCGTCTCGACTCTTGTCGACATATCCAATCTTGCGAAACATCAAGGATATTTTTAATACCACCATAAGTAATCTAAAATAATTATAAATCAATCATAATAATTTCTTTAACAATAGAAATGTAAAACTAACTTTGTTATAATTCCTTTAACAATATAAAACCGATCTTTTTTTCATCACTCGAAGTTTCGGGACGCATGTACAATTGACAAAACGATAATAATTAATAAAAACGCACATATTGCAAGCAACCTTAGGACACATACCCGCATGCAAAAGTAAACTTTGGTTACACGACCAATGTTGATTAGCGTGCTAATTGTAGCATATCAAGACGTATGAGAAACGAAAAGAACGAAAGGTCAAAACGCATACAGTACGAGGATCGGGGCGACTCACTCTTCGGACGTTTCGGAGCTGGTTTGTGAAGCCCATGACGGGATACGTCGCCACCACTCTGTACCGTAGTAATTTTGCCAGTCTTTATTCCAGTACTCAGAAGGCTGAGCGCATTGATGTCTTGTCATCGACGGAACACCAGCGTCGATTCACTCTTGTAGCCTGACTTTTTGAGGTTATATTTAGGTTATATTGTACTCCGAACAGTGACGTCAATCATAAATTACCAAAAGTTCCTAGAGAACAAGCTCCTTCTAGAAGGAGACCTTGAGGTCTCATTATGAAACAAGGCGGCCTTGGAGATTCAAGGAATCCTTCATGGAGGCTTCCTCCGTCCTTAAGATAAGGAAGGACTATGAATACGGGTATTATGCTTCATCGAATGGAGGAAGGCAGTGACGTTCGCGAACATATAAGTAAGTTTTTCGATGCAGTCGATAAATTACAAGACATGCAGGTCGAAATTCATCCCGATGTATTGGCAACGATGCTTCTATATAGTCTGCCGGCGAGTTTCGATAATTTCAGATGCGCAATTGAAGCTCGCGATGAATTGCCCGCGCCCGACACACTGCGTGTCAAGATCGTCGAGGAAAACGAGGTGCGAAAGGGCGAGACACACAATACTGGTGCCAAGGCTATGTTCGCGAATAAACATAAGGGCCGAAAACGCGACATCAAGCCGACCGCGCATGAACGCAAGGACAACACACCAGCGGACGACAAAGGCGTTAGTAAAATTCGCTGTTACAAGTGCAACAAACAAGGGCACAAGGCCGCAAATTGCGTTTCCAAAAGCGATAAAAACCAGTCAGCGAAAAGTGCCGAGCAAGTGTCGTTACGTGCAGACATCGCTCTACAAGCCAGCGCAAGTCACGTCAAGTATGGTGTTTGGACAGCGGCGCTACCACACATCTCTGTGGTGATCTGGAGGCATTTTACGAGATAAGCGATTCAAGACCGGGAAAATTAAATCTGGTTAACAGTGCTTCAACCGAAACGACCGCTGAAGGCAAGGTAATGGTCACGGCCAACGTAAATGGAGAAAATAAACTCGTGTCGCTAAGCAAGACTTTACACGTTCCGGACCTACGCACAAATCTAATGTCCGTAAGCAAGATAACGGATAGCGGTTTCGAAGTACTATTCTCTAAAGAGAACGCGAAGGTACTGGACAGAAGCGGAGACGTCAAACTGGTCGCGGACAGAATTGGCGGTCTATATTTCGCATGCGAAATCAAGGACAAATCCGACTCGGAACCTAGCTGCGCGCTATCCACATCAGTCAACCTCTCGGATTTTGAGCTGTGGCACCGCAGGCTTGGCCACGTGAACACAAGAGATCTCATCGAGGCGCAACGACATGGAACAATCAACGGCTTAAAATTCAATACCAAGGAATTTACCTGCGAAACCTGCCTCAAAGGAAAGATGACTCGCGCACCTTTCCCCAAGAAGTCAAATAGAGTTTCGGAACTACTCGATTTGGTTCATTCGGACGTTTGCGGCCCCATGCGGGTCGAATCGATGGGGAAGGCAAGATATTTCATCGAGTTCATCGACGACCACTCGAGATGGAGCGAAGTTCGATTTTTTGCGACACAAAAGCGAGGCTCTTCAGGCTACTAAAGAATTCATCGCACTCGCAGAAAATCAGACAGGTAAAAACGTCAAATGTTTTCAATCTGACAATGGTTTACAGGCAAGAACTTCGATATCTTCTTGAAAGAAAAGGGCATCTCCAGACGACTTACGGTTTCATCTGCTCCCCGGAGCAGAACGGAATCGCAGAACGACGGAACCGCACCCTCCTAGACATGGCGAGATGTCTGCTCGTCCAATCAGGGTTACCTTCCAGAGGCTAAAGTCGCAGATCCGACTGGAGGACCTAGGCATCGAAGGGTTACGACCCAGGAGGGCCCTGACCGGAGCACTGGTCCTTGAGGTGACCGGCGAGGACGCGAAGACGAAAGCGGACCAGCTCGCAGAGAAAGTGCAAGGGGTAATGGGGGGAGAAGAGGGAGTACGAGTCACCCGCCCTGTGAAGCTGGCCGAGGTCCGTATCAAGGACCTCGATGACTCAGCAACACAAGAGGAAGTACGGGACGCCATAGCGAGAGTGGAGGAATGCCCACCCGAGAGCGTTAAAGTAGGCCAACTAAGAATGGCGCCTAATGGGCTGAGCACAGTGTGGGCCCAATGCCCGCTGACGGCAGCCAAAAAGGCCGCGGTGCCCGGGCGCATAAAAATTGGCTGGGTAGCCGCAAGAATAGAGCTGCTGGACGCGAGACCACTTGTCTGCTACAGATGCCTGGAGCGTGGACACGTGCGCCAGCAGTGCCGTAGCAACGTGGACAGAAGCGCCACATGCTACAGGTGCGGGGCGGAGGGGCACAAGGCCCAGGATTGCAGTGCCGAACCGAAGTGCGCGGTATGCAGCGAGAAGGGGCTTCCGGCGAAGCATAAGGCCGGTGGCAAAGGGTGCAAGGCACCAACGAAGAAAGAGCTGAAGAAGCGGAGCAAAGCGGACCCGAAACGGCGAGGGATGGACATTGACCCCCTCCCTGGAACAAGCGGAGGGGCCGCAGCAGAGGAAGAAATGGAGGTTGAAACCTCCACACCAGGAGCCACAACGCAGAGGCCACTGGAGAGGAAGAAGGGCTCGGAGGAAGCCGTCGAACCGGCGCCTTCACGCCCTTAAGGGTGCTACAGGCGAACGTCAACCACGCTCGCCAGGCGCATGACCTGCTAATGCAGAGCATGGCGGAGCGTGGTTGCGGCCTGGGAATCGTGGTGGAACCGCTACGGGTCCCGGACCACCCTTGCTGGATCGGAAGCACCGACAACTCGGTCGCTATTATATATATAATAAATATCAAAGAGTAATTGTCTAGCGGCGCACGGGGGAGCAACATACCCCGTTTGTTCGCGGAAAGAGGGGAGAAGGCTGGGTGATGGCGAAGTGGGGCCCCATCACAGTGATGGGGTGTACATTCGCCCCAGCCTGACCCGGGCGGAAGTTGAGGACCGCCTGGAGGAGATGGAGAGGCAGATCAGCAGAATACTACCGGGACCCATCATGATTGCGGGCGATTTCAACGCGGCGGCAACACTTTGGGGTTCGCGGCGTTCAAACGCGAAAGGTATGGAGGTGGGGCCTAGGCCTCCACCTGGAGAACAGGGGCACCACCAGCACATGTGTGAGACCCCAGGGGGAGTCCATTGTCGATTTGACATGGACTTCCCCTGTGGCCGCGAGGATGATACGGTCATGGGGGGTGGCGGAGGACCTGGAGATCCTGTCTGACCACCTCCCCATCATCATTGACCTGGAACCGCCAGGCCGAGAAGAAGCGAGAAGGGACACGGATCGACGACCCCTTAGGAGGGCCACCAAGAAGATGGACCCGGACAGGCTGCTGGCGTCCCTGACCGTCGAGACATGGCGAACAACGACGGAGGAGAGCGTAGAGGAGCGGGTCACATGGCTGCGTGCGGCCATGACCAGGGCCTGTGATGCGGCCATGCCAAGGGCGGCCTTCGTCCCCCGGAAACAGGCCTACTGGTGGTCCGAGGAGGTAGCGCTGCTGAGAGTAGCGGTGGTTAGGGCGAGGAGACATCTCCAGCGCGCAAGGCGGAGGAGAGGAAGTCTCCAGGAGGAGATAGATAACCTGCTGGAGGAATACAGAGCGGAACGACGGGCTCTGAAGCTGGCAGTCAGGCACGCGAAAGAAAGAGCCTGGGAGGAGCTTATTGCGACACTAAATGAGGACCCGTGGGGGCGCCCCTACAAGCTTGTAATGAACAAGCTCAGCAAGGGGGCGCCCCCCACGGTGGAGGCAGTAGACCCGCGCCTCTTGGGGGAGATCGTAAGGACCCTCTTCCCTGAGAACAGGGACGCAGAGGTCCAGGAACCGGACGAGGCCCCAGATGAGGGACACCCGGAGAGAGAGGAGGAGCTCCAGGTCACGGACCAGGAGATAGGAAGAGCAATAAAGAGGCTCAAGGCTGGCAAAGCACCTGGCCCGGACGGAATACCGGCCGCGGCGTGGAAGATCGCCATTGGTGAGCTGGCGGAAGAGCTGAAGGGCATTATGAATGCCTGTATGAGGCAGAGGGAGTTCCCTGAATTGTGGAAGGAGGCGCGCCTCGTACTGATACCAAAGCAGGGAAAACCGGAGGAGTTGCCCTCAAGTTACCGCCCGATATGCCTCCTGGATGAGGCCGGGAAGATATTCGAACGAATGATCACGTCCCGCCTCGTCCGGAGTATAGAGGGCGGTGAGAGTG